TGATGGCATGAGTGTCATGACACACCCCTTACGGCATTGGTCCTGGCTTTTGTTCACACAGAAGGCGTTCTGGCAATTTCCCGGGATCAACGAGCTATGTGAATGGGGCTTAAGTAAAAACTCCATTCATTTTCTCCATAGGAAACTCAAGATTTTTGACTAAAACCAGAAAAGTTGTTATACTTTGCGTTTTTCACGTACAGGCAACAACATTGTCCATTGTCAAATTGATCCCCATTCACACATACCACGAAAACAGCTAAAAATGCATTATAAGTATGCCAGATCAGTAGTTTGTGATGCCATGTAAATATGTAAAGAAAAGTTATAGACTGGACACATAAATAGCCTACTCATACGCATGACGTTTTCAAAAATTTACGCTTTCAGTCCCCCAAAACGCCATTGTCACATAAATGAATGGTCAAAACATCTTCCATTTTTATTTGAAAACTTTAAAGACAGATCGTATATGCTTTTGTTGAAGCAACTTGTTTGTATTATTTAAACTATTTTTTAAAAATAATAATGTTTAACAGAATGTATATATTGGCTTTCTTCATTGGTTCAACGCATTAACTTAGACTTTTTAAAAATCCCCATGGGAAAAATGAATGGAAAAAAATACTTATTACTTATGAAAAAAGTGGGCGGGCACTAATGCACAAGACTCTCTGGAATACTTGATTCTGATCAGCCAATCGAATCATCCACTGGTCAGATATTTCTTAATATTCAATGCGTTGATCAGACCGTTCATGCAGGTAACTGAAACTGTAAAATGACCTCAGTATTAATATTATTCTAATATAGTGGCTGATGGGTTGGATTTACCATGTTTGCATCTCAACAAATCCAAACTTGAAACGATTTAATGTAAAACTAGCAAGAAAACCTTTATTATATGCACTTAAATATGCGTTTACTCAGCGTTCTTTACTTAAAAATATCTAACACCAATATAATCTACCAAGTAATAGCAAGTTGTGTTAACTTGGGGTATTTATTCTTAGTGGAAGCGTTAAAATAACATCCCATACACAACATAACATTATTGATTGATTAGTGCAAGAAACATTCAGTCTCTCATTTAGAAATGTGCAGTCACTGCTTCAGAATCTGTGGTTTATGGTTGCTGTCTGAGCAGTAATATTATGGCTAATATATTCCAGAAAGGGTTTGCGCTAAATGACAAGCATTGTCCCACTCTCCTACAGCTCTCTGGCAGTCAGGAGATCGGTGGTCCATGCCCAGCTTTATTATGCCACAGTGTGTGCGACTGCCTCCCACCGCACTTCATTAGTTCCCTGTGATACTTAAGTACAAACACACAGTAGCTCTAAATAAAACAGCTATGTGAGGGAGGGGGGTGTCTGAACAGTCTGTAGAAGTCCAGGATCAATTGGCCCACGCTGGCATCTTGCATTTGACGTCTTTCCATGTTTTCAGACTCTTTCAAAAGAGTTGGCTAGAAGAAAATCTGAAATTGAGATGATTTTTGACACATAAAAGCTCTTTCACCTGCTGAGAAACATAATAGATGCATAAGATTCAGATAAAGGAATGCAAATCAGTTAGTTGAAAGAGTTTGTATTCAGTTAAATGCTTTTGCATCGAATATTTTCTGTTTCTATGGTGTTATAATGGAACCCTGAAAGCAATAAGGCTGACAAAAAAAATCACACAGGGTTTTTGATACAATGCACAAAGGTCAGTGTTCGGATTATAAGGTAAATAAATGCACTTGCTCCAAGGTTAATGGTGATACGCAATAACATATCCATCCATCTATGTATCCGTCCGTCCGTAAAAAAAATACATTTATATGTTATATGTCTTATTCTTATATATAATCTCTAATCATCATATTTATAACATACAATGCTTGTCTTATTTTTGCTAGCTTTGAGGAAATCTATATGCCAACAGTAACTTTTAGATGTTGTACAAAAACGTTGTCTTTAAAAAACTTTAAAGTGTTTATTTTTTTGGAAAACTAGGTGAAAAACATTGATGGTTTCTTTTTTTTTCCCAAATTTTTGGAAAATTTTAGATTTTACATTACACTAACCTTTTAGTAAATAAGAATTTACATTAAAATATAAATGTGTAAATAACAAATCCATGTTTTGTGAAATAATTTTATTTGACCAAATAAGTTAATACTTTTTATAAAATCATGTAGACTATTCTATATAACCCTATTCTATTTTAATAGTTTTTAACTTAACTTTAATATACCAAGATACTTGTGTAATACTACTATACTACCAATAAGCTTATTCTACTTTACATAGCTACTATATACTAATATAATCATATTTAATACACTTATTTTAGCATTTATTTCACTATATGATGTTCTTTAGTTTTCAGACTGTTCCTGGCAAAGCTATCGACTTCAGAAGACATATAATATAGGTTTATATCATGTGGACCAGGGTAGGGTCATGATACTCTTATGGTGCTTCTGCATTGTCTGTGAAGTCTGAAAGCCTCAGTTCCAGTTGGGACTAATTGCAAAGAACAGCTCAGTAAAACTCTTTAAAGAACGTCATGTTGGTGAGTAAATGATGTCACAAATGTCGTTTTTGTGTAAACTATTCCTTTTAAATCCACCTCGTTTCTCATTGTGAATGAATTTCACCGTGTGATTTCATCAGGGATGCAGGCCTGCTGCAGTTCTTTCCCTTTTTCACTCTCCCTGAAGCCTCAGACAGAAGCTCCCTGGAGACTTTAGCTTCCTAGTTTAAACCTGACACAAATTCCATGTCACAATGCCCAGAGTGACGGCGCTTGCAGGCACAAAAGCAAATATTTCCGTTCCTGGTCATACCCAACCCCCTTTACACGTCCCTACCGACACCTGAACCCTCCCTTTCCTCAACAGTTCCAGCACTGCAAGCCAGCCATTTGTCACAAAGTAATTATAGAATTATCGATTGGCGAGCAATTAACAGTCCCTCCCTCTTCTCTGTTCCCCCCTCCCCATCTTTTAATTTGCAGTCAGACTGGCAAGAGCAAAAAAAAAAAAAAAAAAACTTTAGGAGTAACACATTTAATCCCTTTGGGATTTCTCTACAGTCTTCAGATTAATAGAGGGACAGGGACAAAAGGCCTTTTTTCGCCTGCTGTCTGCATGTCTCCAGGCCCTGGCCCTCCCCGACAGCGTCTCTCATGCCTCCCACAGACTTGCATCCAAAAGCTCCTCGTATTAGCATTGTGATGAGATGTACTGTCGGATATCTGCTGAATTTGATAAACTCTGAGCGTGATGCAATATAAAGGAATGAGGCTGTAACTTCCTGAGGCTGTGTAATTCAGCTGACCGTTCTGATCATTTGTTCGTGGGGGAAGGGTATATATGAGCATACTTTTTACTTATGTTGTGTATGCAGAGAGCTTTAAGCTAACTTTATTCACAACTTGCATCATTTCAAATGGTTTTAACTGTTACAGGTTAAAATTCGGTCCCACTTTATATTAAGTGGCTTTAAGTACTATGTACTTACATTGAACAATGAGTACAATGTATTATTGTGTTCCTGTTGTATTGTAAAACACTTTTGCTGCTATTGAGGTGTGATACGGGTAAGGTTAGGGACAGGTGTGGTGGTATGGGTCGGTTTAAGGGTAGGTTAAGGTGTGAGGGGAGGGTCAACTGTGTAATTACACATGTAATTACATCAATTAATTGTAGCCGTAATTACATGCTGGAATTTTAAAATGTAAGTACAATGTAAAAACATGTATGTACACAATAAGTCCATTGTATCAAATTATTAATTTCAATGTAATTAACTAGTACTTAAAGCCACTTAATATAAAGTGGGACCTAAAATTCAAAGTTAATGATGGCACAAAATGAGCAGATGTTGTATTTTCTGTTTCTAAGGACATTACAGAATGAGTATATTTAAAACCTACACACAAATAAAAAGGTTTTGATAATAATAATATTTATTTATTTGTCTATCTCAAAATAAATGAATTTAAAGTAGGATAATATTTTCTACTTATTTGTTTTAATATAGATTGATTTTAATATTGATTTTATAATAATAATAATAATAATTTATTTATTTTAAAATAAATACAATTTAAATAAATTTATTTTAAATCATTTGTATTTGATTTTATATATATTTATATATATTTTTTAAAATAAATACATTTGGAGTGATAACAGTTTGATAATAATACAATTATAATTTTATTTTATAATTTTATAATATTTTATAATTTTATTTTATAATAAAATAAAATTATTATTATTTATTTTTATTTATTTGTTTTAAAATACAGTATTATTACAAAATATTTATTTTAAGAATAGTAATTTGATTTATTTTTAAATAAATAATTTAATAAATTAATTTAAAGTAATCTTCATTTGAATAGGCTATTATGTATTTATTTATTAAGTAATATTGATTTGATAATAATAATAATAATGTATTTGTTTATTTTAAATAAAAGTAATGTGATTTGATAATTAATATTACAGGAACAACAATAATAACAACAATATTATGTGATAACACCAATAGCTAAACAACTTTCAAAAGTCTACATGGGTTTTTTGTTCCTCGGATAATTTTTGGTCCAACAAAAGAGGTTTGAGTTGGTTTCTTTAACACAAAAAATCTATAAAAAAAACTTTCCTTGCTATTTTATAGCTAAATTATGCAATTGTTATAGAAGTGGTCGAATTCAAGAGCTGTTGTAACTTGGTTTGGGTGTTTTTTGAACACTGAGGCAGGAAATTACTCTATCTCTGTGCATCGCAATGATATATAAAGCGTGACAGATGATTCTTCCTACAAAAACACTGGAGGAACTGTTTTCAAATACATTTAAAATGATCTTCTGAAGACAGTTCAAGTGAGATATCAGTACATCTAACACAACTTAAAGTTAGGCTAAGAAAAAAGAAACTCTTCAGAGCTGCATATTTTCTTTCCTCAGTAGCCTGTAACGCCTACTCTCATTTTTTTCAGCCATGCCCAGATCAGCATGCAAAGAGCCAGCTAAGACTCTGGAAGCCCAAGAGCTGGCAGATATTAAGACTGGGATCGATTTCATGGAACATCACCTTGGTAACATATGGCCACAGCTGAGGAAGTTGATTTGCTTTCTGTCGTCCTATAACTCCAGTCTTTTCTTTTCCCCCCTCAAGTGTTTCATAGCATTCATTTTTTCTTAATCCTTCATCCTGGCAGCCCAAGATGTGAGGTTTTATTTTGTTGACTATGCATACATTAACTCCAAAAAAACATTATCACATTTGTCTTAATGTGTCGTCTCGTGTGTTTACGTTCGGGCCTTTTGCACAGATAAAGATCTTCTTTCATATTACGTATTGTAAAAATCAATACTTTCATATTCATTGTAAAAATCCAAAGCGTGTTATCAGGATAATACAATATCCCCTTGCACACGGTTGGAAGACACTAACAAACACGCAGTGAAAAGATTTCTACCATTGCCACCTGATAAATGAGAAATTTTTCAATATCCAGAAAGCTGATTACCAATTTACCGCTGTCAACTTCCATCTCTGCACCAATAAGGATGTTCTTTCAATGCATATGCCATCTTAGAGGATATTTCTCTACATATCGCAAACATGCTCTCTCAGCTAATGTAATAGAGCCCAATAGCCGGTGTGAATTTTAGTTTTATGATTAATATGATGTCATGTACAACGCTCTAAACAAGCTGCTGAGGAATTGCAGAGCGTGACAGGATTGCAGACGGTTAGGGTCATGTTGAACGTGCTCTAGTATTAGTCCATAACATTGAATAAGAGCAGCGGGTAGTTGCAACACATTTTACTGTAACATCTGTAACTCAGTGTTTGTTTGAGCTATTTTAATCTGATTTCCACACATTTGTCTGCCACAAATTAATGTTGACTGGAGATGTATAACTTATCCCATATCTCTGAAAAAGAAAGAGTCCTGTTGTTTCAACCTATATACTTCACTACACGGGTTTAATAGAAAAAATCGACATCAATTTAAATTTAAATTAGGCCTGTGAAATCGATTAATCGCATCTAACACAAAAGTTTTTGTGTTGTGTTTATAATAAACAGTATATGTATATAAACACAAACATTTATGTTAGATGAGATTATCCGCAATTATTCGATAAAATAATTTGAAAAAATAATTAAACATTTAAATCTCAAATCTGCAAGCAAATGAAAAAAAATGTCACACATAAAACAGAGACAAAAAATTATAATAAATATAAAAAAATTATTAATAAAAAAAAAAATAATAGGCCGTGCAGTCATGTTCACAATTGTTTAATTACAATATTTTAAATTGTTTATAATTATATGCTGTGAAATCAAATGTTCAGTCTTTGTGGGTCCTGTAGAAACAAATGGATAAAGGCATGTTGCGACCCTGAAGCGTTTTAGTTTATAAGTCGTGTTGCAACTCTTGGCGAAAGCTTTAGTACTAAGTTTTGTATCTGCCGATTAAAGTGATGTGCATTATTTGTTGGTTGTCAAGAATTTTAATTCCGTTTCTTGTTTCTCTTATGCTTTTTTTTAGTGCAATGAGCTGAATCAGCCTCCGTCAGATGGTCTGGCCCGTTGACGGATGGAATTGGACTGGATGTCGGTGGGCTGGGCCCATCTCCGAAATATGAGGATATGAAGCAGTGGAGCTGGTTTTGTTCCAGTCGGGGCAGGTCCCAGGTGTGTCACCCCCTCATCTGTCTACTCCTCTCTTCCTTCCCGTTCTCTTCCTCCATTCCACCAAAGGCCTCATTTTCTGCAAGATTAGGCCTCCACCTGTCCTGCTCTTGGCCCCTGGCCCTCGCCTGAGCTCGAACACACCGTCAATTAACACCAGCAAGTTTCTAGCTGAGTCACATCAAAATTCAACCGAAAAGTTGGGGAGAATGAAATTAAAATATGAAGTTGAAAGACTATAGGAGAGTAATTCATTAAGTTAGTCATACTTTTTGTGAACTCCTCAGCTGTAAACATGGTGGCTTTCTAATCTTGTTGTTTTCAAGCAAACATGCATTTTGGTAATTAATTTTTTCAGTTCCATCTCTGATTAATCTGATTTTGAAACCTGTCCATGTAATGCATAATAACCCTCATATTGCCAAAATATCATTTAGGCTTCTTTTGGCCCACAACCAAATTGCTAGAGAATGAAAGGAGCTGCGCCAGGCCTTTAATTTCACCCCTGTATAATTAACCAATGAGCTAAATAATCTGGCTGGCCCTCATTGTTGCAAATGTGACACCTGTTGTAAGTGGCATGACTTGGGAGTGCCAAAACACTTTTGTAGATTTGCTTGGTCTTATCATTGTGATTTGTGTCATGGGAAACAAGTGAAAAGACAAAGGAGAACAACCGTTTTTTTGTCCAAGCAGAGACAGATGGTCTTGTCAAAGTTACACTTGTTGGTCAATGAAGCTAAAAGCACTAGGTGTTTGTTACAGAAAACATAAGGAGATTGCAGTTTATCTGGATGGAGTCATATTGAACTCATAATGCTTGCTGTGAGGAACAGATCAAAAACTTGCCATGTTGCAATTGACTGACACACATGAGGACCAGACGTTGATATGGAGGGCAAGATTTAATTTCTTCACATAAAGCTGTTGTATGACTTGTACAACTTGTTTGGACCACATAGTGTTTTCTTTTTTTTGTTCTTTCTGGAGTTTAGCTTAACTTATCTTTTTGCGTTTGGGACAACATGAGGGTGGACTAGTCCTAAATAAAGGTTGAAGACAGGGCTTAAGAATGTTCCGTATAGTTTAGGCAGATAATTACTAATTAGTAAGTGAAAAGTACTTAAAGATGAAGCAGATGCTATTTAAACCATTTAATTAAAGTTTTTTTTTTAAAGAATCAGTAAAAGGAGGGCTGCCGACATCAATTGTCTTTTATCTACTCAAAAAGTTTCTCCCAAAGGAAGTTCTACCTGTCGTAAATGAAGTAAATGAAATGCTACTTATCTACGCTGTTGCCTTGAAAGCTGTTTATCTTTCGTCTGCAATTCCAGTCAACTCTGTTGGTCTTGCTTATTGTCAAAATTAAACATGCACAGAAATATTAAAGGTCATTTGCCTTAATGAAGCCGTAAATAATTAAGTCAATTAAAACACGAACGCTGAAAGAAGATTGAGAATGATTTTAGAATAAGATAATAACAAAAAAACAAAACAAAGATAAAATCCCAACTTGCACAGCCACTAAAGTGCACCTCTATAAACGCATAGTATTGCCCATTATAAAAAGTAATTAGAAAAATGCATTTTAAACAGAAGAGCATAATCTTTGTCATTATTGTTGTTTCAAACATACAGATTTATGTAACATTTCCAGCAGCCACCAACGGGGGGCGATGTGTCCCATGAAATGAATGTATTCTCTCCATCAACGAGGCTAAATGGAAAGAATGGGCCAATAATATTTTTTTCCCCTGCTGATAAGCTACTTCCAGATTACCATACGTTCATAATATGTACAGAAATTGTTGATGAAGTCCTTATTTCTTGACTGTATGATGTATGTTCTGTATTTATGGAGGTCTGTAGCATAAATAGGTTGGCATTTTCCTTTGACCTGTATAATTTTGAGCTATGACGTATTAACAACAGCCATGAAATAATATGCCGCTATGAAATCATCAGCGGGACCTCAAGGAAAGCCTTTCTTTATTACCTATAGCACTCAAAAAGAGCTGTCAAAGTCCTCATAACAAAATGTCAACTAGCACGCTTCAGAATCCCAAAGGATGAAGCTATAGAGAGATGAGTTATGTTAAATACAAAACTGACATATAAAAGATGTTTCTAGATGTGTGTATATATATATATATATATATATATTCTTTACTATAGGGCTGAGCTATATTTTTATTAATGTTTTTCTGCTTTACATTTCAGGCAGTTCATTAAAAATATGACAGCCAATATATATATATAGATGTATAGATAGATAGATGCTCAATGTTAACTACAGTATAAGCTGTTGATAAGCAATCTTACACATGTTTTTAAAATCCAATTTCATAACTCCAGCCAGAACGTTTCAAAGAGGTAGTGCCGGGTAATTTCGATCCTTTCTATCTCTGCTGAATTCACGAGCCCCTTTTGCGGCAGACAAGCTTAGGTTTCTTTCAAGTAAATGCCAACCCAAAAAAGAGACCCAAGCGTGTATATGCAATCAATATATTTGTTCTCAAAAGGCCGTGATGTTCTGACGTTTCACTTTTTTGTGCACTCAACGCTTTGATTTGTGTTTATCGCAGAAGGTCAGATCTCATAGAAGAACAGATCGTGCACGGTGCGAAGCAGACGGAGGGAGGGAATGGAGTTAAATTAAGGATAACATTGGACTGACAGTGATCAGGGCACCTTTCGTTAAGATCCTCGGCTCTGAGAGAAGGTCTGGCGGCGTGATGGGGAGGGGGAAGGCGGCAGTAAAAAGTTTTCCGAGCTGTCGTCCCCCTTCAATTTGCATGCTTAATGATGCTGAGCAGGAGTTAATAGTGGGTGTAATGGCTTCTGACTGACCGGGCTCTGGAGTGGACCACGGGCTGGGCCACCGGAGCAGGGGTGGGGAGGGGTTAACGCACACCATACGGCTCCTCGCTCTCTCTCTCTCTCTCTCTCTGCTGTCTTTCGTGAGATAACAGAGCTTGCCGCTGTGGCCTTGTCTTATTAAACATGTTATCATTGCCTGTAACCTTTCTCTCCTCTCCCTTTCTTTTTCAAAATAGAGGAAAAGCTGCCTTTGTCTGTTTTTATTCGGGGACCTATCTGACCCACCGCGAGAGGAGAAAGAGACCTGAAAGAAATCAAATGGCAATTCCTGTCTACATTAATGTGGTCCTTTGTTCTGAGAGGGACGCCTTTGTGAGTATTCGGTACACTTTGTCCGTTTAGTCAGGCGGAGGATATACTCGATTGTCAGCAGCATGTCCTCTGTGTAGATACAGCCATCTAAACACAGATCAGCCACTCCAAATCACACAGGAAATACAAGCAAAGGGGAAACTCGTTCTTAGATAAGCACTAAAGGGCAAAGTTCAGGAAAACCGCTGTAATATTGAAAAGATAACAATATTGTCTGTAAAACGCTTGTGGTGTGAGCAGATTTATTTGCTTTTTTTCAAGGATGCATCAAAATTCTGCACTTAAAGGGATAGATCACCCAAAAATGAAAATGGTTCCAAACATGTATGAATTTCTTTCTTCTGCTGAACACAAAAGAAGATATTTTGAAGGCAGAATATGGTTAACCAAACAGTTGATGGAGTTGATGACTTTTAGTTTAGGGTTCCATCAACTGTTATGTTTCCGAGTCCGACTTTCTTCAGAATATCTTCTTTTATGTTTGGAACAATGGAATGTTGAGTAAATGATGACAGAATTTTCATTTTTGAGTGAAATACACATTTAAACATGTTTACAGCATTGCACTTACATTGGTGATGGTGTTTTCCAGAAGTTTTAAAGCAGAAATTAGCGTTTTTATTTTTGTTGAAGTGCTTATCTTCCATACAGATTGTGTTGTTCAAGCTGCAAATACCAGCAAACCAGTCATCTCGTATCTCGTATTAGGTAACACTTTATTTTTTGATTTGATATTACATGTAATTTAAGTAACTATAAGTAACTACATGTCAAAACAAATATTAGTAGACTTTCTGCTTAATATCTGCTATCACTTTATTGTGATTCTCCTCCAACAGACATTCTACTGACTATAAGTAACTTTGCAAGTACATTTCAACTTATTCGAACCATAACCCTACCAGTCTACTAATTTTACTTGCACATTCTAATGAGAGTTATTTAAAGGGTTAGTTCACCCCAAAATGAAAATTAAGTCATTAATTACTCACCCCCATGCTGTACCAACCCCGTAAGACCTTCGTTCGTCTTCGGAACACAAATGAAGATATTTTTGATTAAATTTGAGAGCTGTATAACTACCACATTGGCTCCTAAGGGACTGCCTCTTGACGGCCCAAAAAGTCAATGAAGAAAATGTTTAAATATCCCAAGTGACTACCGTGGCTCAACTATATGTTTATCAAGCGACACGAATACTTTTTGTGCGAAAAAACAAACAAAAATAACGAGTTTATTCGACTATTTCTTTTCTTCCTTGTAGGCCAGAACGAGACTTCCTTATAGATTTCCACGACGCATGCGCGAGAATTGCGATCTGAAGTAATGAAGGCTGGTGTGAGCAGATCGCAAATCTCGCGCATGCGTCGTGGAAATCTAAGGAATTCTCGTTCTGGCCTACAAGGAAGAAAAGAAATAGTCGAATAAACTCGTTATTTTTGTTTGTTTTTTCGCACAAAAAGTATTCGCGTCGCTTGATAAACATATAGTTGAGCCACGGTAGTCACTTGGGATATTTAAACATTTTCTTCATTGACTTTCTGGGCCGTCAAGAGGCAGTCCCTTAGGAGCCAATGTGGTAGTTATACAGCTCTCAAATTTAATCAAAAATATCTTCATTTGTGTTCCGAAGACGAACGAAGGTCTTACGGGGTTGGTACAGCATGGGGGTGAGTAATTAATGACTTAATTTTCATTTTTGGGTGAACTAACCCTTTAACATGTAGGTGAACAGACAGTATGTCTAAAGGGGCCCATCAAAATAGTGTGACCATTAATAAATAACATAATGTGTATTATGCCATATTGTA